TAAAAATAAATACAGAAGGCTTTGGAAAGTTTATTTCAAAGATAAATTAGTCCTAAGATTAAAATAATGATTTAGGCATTTAGATATAACCTAGTAAGTTAATACAAATTATAGGTTTAGAGAGTTTAAAATGAAATATCTAAACAAAGGTATTAAATATAGTAATTGGTAAAGAACCTTCAAGTAGATTTTTTAAATAAGTAATAAAGAAAAGTTATATATGTAACCAATTGTATGCTCTCCTGTAGTAATTCATTAAACCACAATACTAATAAGTAATTAATAAAAGTCAAAAGACCAAAGAGGTCATCTTAAAAAAAAAAACAAATAAAAAATAAATTTTTTTTTTTTTTTTAAATATTAAGATAAATATTTGCAATCCAGAATTTTATTAATAATATATTTGACTAATAGTTGCATTACAACTACAGAAAGCAATTATAGAAAGAGTATACAACTAGTCACTTATACAACTTTAGTTATTATTTAATTTAAGTAGTCTACCTAAAGGTTCTACACTAGTTGTTATACCTGGAACCTATTTATAAGTTCCCTATTTAACTATTCTAGTTTTTATAGTTATCCATTTATCTTTGTCTATCAATGATTCTGACCAATACCAATGAAAATATGTTATGACCACTAAGTCTTTAAAGCAATTTTTTGAAATCTTTGATCTTGTATTAAACCCTTTAGAATCTTTATATCTTATTTTATAGTTAACCAAGTATTACTATGACTAAAACCAACACTAATAGTTAAAATATATCATTAAACTGTTATGCCTTTGTAGAGTTTATCCTAATCTCAGTATTGACTTTACAACATATCTCTACTATTTTGATATTCAATTCAAGTTCTATCAGACTGTCATTTCAGGTAGTCTAGAAAGGTAGGCTGTAACTATATTTCTGGTTTACATGTTTGCTAACATGTATTCTTTTTCTTTGAAATTTGAAAATTCTGATGCCTGATTGGTTCATCTAGTTTTTTCTTAAAGACCAGCACATTTGTCTAGTTTCACAAGTTCTAGCTCTATTTTATAGGTCTAGTTTTTACAGTAGCACTGTCAAAAGTTCAGGTTACTTCTCTAATATAAATAAATTTTAAACTATATTATAACAGGTAATAATAAAACAAATAAAAACATACTTAATATTTGTAGTAATATTAAAATTTTGAAACATTTGCAAAAATAATAATAACAAAAATTTGACTTAAAATATGTATTACTAATATTTGTATTAAGAAGTTAATAACAGTAACAGAATTCTAACTTAAGATACAAGTTTATTACAAATTTTAAACCATTGTCAAAATACCTTAGAAAATTAATAATAAGCAAACCAAAGATAGAAAATTACAAGAACCATCAACCTAAAAGTATCAAATAGATATTATTACAAGTAATATAATAAAAAATGCAAAAAACTAATGTTAGCTAAAAATAGTAAAATTATAATATATTGAAGTTAACACAAGCAGTAGAACCTGAACCTTTTTATCAAGCAAACAATTTAATAACAATGTTATCTAAAGTATCAGAAATTTAATCATATATATTGATCAAATGTCATAACATGTAAAATGTGCAGCAGAATAACATAGATACTGTTAAAGGTAATTACAAAAAATCAACAATCTGTAATGAATCAATATAACTTAAATTAGATAATAAAACAGTTTTGTAAATATGTAATAAAAAATTCTTTTATCCATTAAAAGATTAAATAAAAATCAGCAATCGCTGTTAATTACTTACGTAAGTACGTTGTACGGGGAAAAAATGGTCCACCTAAAACACAATCAGAAATGAAGGCTACCCGAAAGCAGGTGTGAAGATTTGGTCAGAGACCAAGAAACCTACTGCCATTTATACTTGCTGGCCAAATCCCAAATCCAAACTAATATCTCAAAAACTTCATTAATAATTTTTATTTAAACAAATAATATATATTCTTATGGCTATATATAATATATTATAAAATATCAAAATGATTTTGTTGATTTAATTTTTTATAAAAGTGATTTGTTTTTGGAGGGTTTGTGATTTGTACAAGGTTTGTCAGCAAGTATACTGCCACTAGGATCTCCGGGTTAGATGTTATCAGTATACAATCCCTCCTCCTTTAATTACATAAAATCAATGAGCTTTTATACACCACAAACAGCGTTGGGGCTTTGCCACTATGATTTAGAACTTACCAGCAATATGACTATTTGGAGTATCGGGAGGGGAGAATCTATAGCTAACGATTAGCAACTTCATATACATTTGCATGACTTTGATTTAGTTCGCATTATTTGAATACCAGAGGCGCCTCTCAATGAAGCATCGCCTCGAGCCAAACCCTAATTAGCATTATTAAATTCCTTCGCCTTTGCGCATTACGTGTCCTGGCTAGTGATGCCTGGCGAAATCCTATAGTTTCGTCAATTCGTCAATTGACGAAACTTATGTTTTTGTCGGGTTTCGTCATGTTTCGTCATTTTGTCAGGAATTACTAGTCCTGGCTCATATGGCTTGTATCACGTTTTTGATGACTGCGGCCAGGTCACATTACCAGTCACTAGGATCCTCATTTTCTGCTGCGCAGATATTAAAACCGGTAAGGGATTATATCCATCACAATTGAATCCTACATAAAATAATTTAATTTGTCATTGATCACAGGCGAGAGGGATTCACTTTGGATCGGGCACTGTTTCTGCTTCACTGCGATAGACCCCTGTTTTACAAATTATTTATGCGAATTATGCGATAAATTATGCGGATCAAGTAAAATTATGCGACTAAAGTTTCATTTTTATATCTTAAACCCGATTAAAAACCGGTTTTAACACATTAAAAATAACACTATACGACTATGAATGTTATGGCAAAAAATGCACGTAACTCATTATAGTTACAAGCTACGATATTACATTCACACCTTATCAAAAGTTACTCCTACCTAATTTTTATACCAATAAAAATTACAATTATTACAATTATACCCCAATTTTACCATTTTATGCGCAGATTATGCTCTATTAATTACGTAATTAGCCCCAATATGCTATCGCATATGCTTTTGTGATATCGATATAATCTGACTTATGCCAGGTCGGTACCCCTACCCGTCACTAAGGGGAAGGGGTCTTCGATATCTTATATTTTAATGTATTATTTTTGACCGTTAAATATCAACCCATTTGGATTTGATTAGATAGTTATGTTTGATATCTATGAGAGTTGATAATAGAGATAATTATTTATATAGGCTGAACTTAATTTCTATTAAGAGGTTGATATTAGTGGAGTTAATATTAGTGAGGGTAAAGTGTAAATTCGGCAATAATTCCAGCAACTATAAAAAACTAATTTTGGAACACTATATACATACGTACGTACAAAGTTGTTTATTATCCATAATAACTTTCCAAAAGCATATCTATAAACATAACATTTGAAAAAGAAATGCAGAATAGATAATTATAACTAAAGTAATTTCTTTTTAATATAATACGGTATGAAATATAAATTATCGCGATAGCAAGTCCTGAACCGAAGAGTATAAAACACGAATGTGTCTTAATAAATATTTGGTCATATATAAGGTTGGCATTATTTCTTTTCTCATTAATTCCCAACCATTATTGGTATTTGAGTTTCGGCCTAATTGTTAGAACGGAACGAATAACGTTTTATGGAATGGTAAGTCAAACTAATTGTCCAATACGACTGTCAGGTAAAAGAGATTAAATAATGAATGCTCCAGCATTATTCGATGTCAGTTTTCCTAGTGTATATAGCCTTCAATCTTTGCGACCCAAAGTTATAGTCGGAACTATGCACATATGTTATGTGATATTATCCTGGCCAACTAGGGTACTTCATCATAACAATATAAAAGACTTATATTTTGCTAAAAACCTAGCGAATTTAATCAAACCATTAAACATACATGTTGACCGAGTAGCTCACGAATAAGGTTATTCATAAACCATCTTGTCCAATTGCATTTTTGATGGATTAGATGAATTCTACGGGCTTTTAGCATTAATTTTAAGCCTTTAATTATAATGATCAAGTTAATCATTTTGAATTATTGTTATATGATGATAGATCGTTTGCCATCATTTTTTATAATTTTCATCGCATAGACCTATATAAAATGTGTGTGCAGAAAGAATCCTTGACACCCTAATATATGAACCAAAGCTCTTAAATTTGTTAATCGGTGGATTATTTAATTTTTACTAAGCAAAATAAAATTTAATACTACGGATTTCCATGGATTCAATGTTCTTAGTATTCTCGTTCATATGACATGCGATTCATTCAATCAAAGATTCATTAACGACAAGTTAGAGAACGTAATTTGATCAAGCTCGTGATTTTATAACCTGTATTTAGATTTAATATTAAAAGTTAGTAATGGTCAATTTAATTTATTTTTTTATCATGTTAGCATTAATGTTAGTAGTCAAATAAGTTAGTAATGGTCAATTTAATTTATTTTTTTATCATGTTAGCATTAGTGTTAGTAGTCAAATCCATCTATTGTTCATGAGTCTAATAGATTTGGCTATATCATATGTTCCTATGGGCTAGATAACTTTTTTATGCCCGGGGCTTAGTTAAATAAAATTTTTATTAATGAACTTAGCACACTATGTTAAACTGCCTTGTCTTGTTTGCCTCGTTTTTCGACTCGAATATTTTGACCAAATTCATCATTAAGGGTTGTTAAGAGATATGTTTCGTGCCATAGTTGTGCTTTTGTTGTTGGTCGAGAAGTAATTACTCAGTAATTAATTATATTGAATCAATGGCTAATCACTTCTCACACCAATAATAAAACAAACTAAAGTTTGGATCCGGATAACAGTTAATAAATATAAAAAAAAATTACATAAATAAATAAACAATTCTGACAGATCAGAAATTAATTTTTTGCATTATAATCTCCGGATCCAAGCTCTAAACGACTAATACATGTCGATATATATACATCTTATTTAGCCAACTCATTTGCTCCTTCTTGTTTTGCTTGTAACACCAAAAGACTTGCCGTAACACCTCCAACTAAAAATGCTTCAGAAACATAGCCTAAAGATTTATGTGTATCGTTGCCATAATGTCCTAAATTTTTAATTAATTCCCTAAATTCATAATGGTGATGACGTTCATTCGAATGCGAATGACGACTACGCCCTACAACAACTAAATCTTTTCTGTTAACAATTTCTTTTGCACGTTCAACAGCAGTTTGTATTGGTGTATAAGAAGTAACTTCTTTATAACTTATACGTGCATTTCTCGCAGGATAACCAGATTTTGATTTTAAGTGCATTTCTAAAAAGGATTCATCCTCTTCATTTTCTTGACGTGCTACAGCTTCACTAACAGAAATGGTCGAAATTTGTCGATCAAGTGGAGGTCGATCTTTTTCATCATCTACATTGCTAACCTCGGATTGAGCATCAGATTTTAATACGACATCATTTTCGGTAGGTTTTTCTGATTTTTTTATTCTCACTACAGCTACACTAACATTTGGATATTCAAGTAATCTAAAAGAGAAAGTGAGAGCCTCACGATCATCAGCACCACCAAAGAAAGGTACAAAAATATGAAGATAACCCATAGGATTAGGAAGTGTACGGGTGTTGTCAGTGCTACCAAAGCCACGATCCACGAATACACCTACGGTTGCATAAACTGTTGCATCATTAAAAACACCCTGAACAAAAGTTGCAACTTGAGGACTTGTGTTTTTTTTTTCACGTGGAGCATGATTTTTATTTTCAATTGGCGTGTCTATTATCTCACCGGCACCACTCCATGGAATTATTACCAAATTAATATCAGCATCTTGTATCTTATCAATAATTTCTCGACAAAAGTCCTTTGGAGCAGCAACAGATAATTTAGCATCGACTTTTGTAGAACTAACGTGACCAAGTGCAGTAAACATATTCATAATCGGATCATGTAAAATAGTCTCTGAAATTTCATTAAATTTCATCACCGCTGACATACGTTGTGTAAGTTCGACGAAACGTAAAACATGAACATTCATAGGTTTAGAAACTTTAGAGATTTCGGAATTTTCTTCGGAAATTTGTAAATCGGATTTGATAGGATCATTATTAGGATTGTTTGGTTGTAAAAGTTGCACAAAAGTTACCATAGCCGGTAGATTTTCAACTTTGTTCAATACAACCAATAATCTAAGAAGTTTTGAAGATGATGAATCAGTTGCTGATTCAAGATCCTTTTTAGCTCGTTTACGCTCCATTTGTTTTTGATATTGAACAGGATATAAATAAGTGGCAAGTGGAGTTGTAAGGAATGTAGTCACCAGAGCCCTGCATAAATCAACAAGAATAAGTTTATACAATTTATTAAAACGGGTATATTTCTAAATAATTTTATTCATACTCTTATTATAATATAAATAGTACTTACATGATGACCATAATCGAGAAAACCTTAACATTTATAATTTGTGCATCATAACCAATATTGAGAATAATTAATTCTACAAGACTATATAATTATATTATAATGAATTCAAATTATTAGTATTAAAAAGAATTAACGTTATTATTTAGTGATATTAGTATTAGATTAATATTTACCCTTTACAACTCATAAAAATACCAACTGTTAAAGCTTCTCTAAATGTTAAGCCAGTGAGTTTAGCAGCAATAGTACAACCGAATATTTTACCAACCATAGCAACGACTATGACCAATATCACCCAACCCCATCCTGTAGCATCCAGGCCACCAATGTCAGTTTTCAATCCAGATAGTGTAAAATACTTTTTTTTTTTAAAAAAAAAATATATATATAAATATTTAGTAATTGGACTAATGAAAGCAGATCATGTGACATATAGATATACATGTATACAGAAGTATAAAATAGGTAATACTTACAATAGGTATGAACAAGACACTAATCAAATCTTCAATTTTTTCAGTAATTCCCACCGAGAAACCTCCTTCATGAGGAAGTATTACACCAACAATGAAACCTCCAAAGATGTAATGAATTCCAATGATATTTGTAACAAATGCAGATATTAAAACGACGGATAAAGTGATAGCAACCATTAATGTTGAAGGAGAAGTTTGATTTGAATTTGTTGCAACAATGAGTCTTAATAAAATCGGGCGAATAATAAATCCAACAATCAAGGACCAAGCAACGCAGAGTAAGAAAGAATAAAGAGCGGTGAGATAATTTGAGGCATTGATTATGGCAATAACTATAGCAAGTAGAATCCAAGCGGTAATATCGTCACCAACAGCAGAGGTTAGTGCGCGATTACCCACGGGAGTTCTCATAAGTTTCAGCTCCGACAATATACGTGCGAGGACTGGGAAAGCCTATAATTTAACAATCATGTTGATGTCTCTACGAAGATACACGCGTTTCAAGTAATTATGTAAACGAATTTTTTTTTTTTTTTACCGTAATAGCCATGGCAACGCAAATGAACAGTAAAAAACTAGTAAATGGCACACCCGTAACACCCATTGTATCATAAATGCCATATGCGACGCCTACACCCAAAGCAAAAGGTAATATTATACCGGATGCAGAGATAAAAATAACAGATCTTAAATTATTTTTTATTATCCTTGGATTTAATTCTAAACCAACTAGGAATAAGTATAGGACCAGGCCCAAATTAGCCAGAAGGTTAAGGTAAGTAAGGGAAGCAGCTGGAAAGACAGTATTCATGTATCCCGGAATATGACCCAGTACAGAAGGGCCAAGGATAATTCCACCTATCACTTCAGATATGACTCGTGGTTGACGAATATATTTAAGAACAAGATGGAGAAGGCGAGTAAAGGCTACTATTATGAAGACCTATTATGAATATGTATACATTGTTGAATATAAAGAGTTAATAAAATTTGAAAATTTTTTTCTTATCGTTATCACTAACGTCCCGCGAACATAAATGTAAACAAACGTGAATTCGCCGGAAGAATTCCGTTTTATTCCGTAAAACAAATCTGAGACGGTTTTACCTGTACTATGGCGAGTTGTAGAGGGTCACCTGCATTAACATTCATGGGATTATTCCCCGAGAGAACACCGCTTTGTTCGCTGACCATTTTTTACGGATGAAAATAAAAATTTCGTAGAAGAATTAAGGGATAGGATGAATTCCCTACTGAAATTCCTTACTGAATAGTGGTGTATATATACGTGATACGTATGAAAATACACGTGACTAATTATATTATACGTATATGATTTCGTTTTGATTGTTCATTGTTATTAATTGTAAAACAATATAAATTTATAAATTGTAATGATGAAATATTTTGTTATATGGTATATTTAATTCGTTAACATAATTTGCAAAAAATGAACGCCGTAAACAGAATAGATCAGCTTCGATGACTCCCAACCCCCTATCTCTATATAACTGGTATCGGGTAAAATGATTTCCCTATTGCGTTTATATTTATGTAGAGCTAAGAGCAGAATCTTCATAGAAAATGTTTTACTAACTTATAGAAAAGAATCTCATACATAAGCAAATAAAAATAATCATTTACAAAACGTTCCTATCATTTATGCGCCTGAAGGTTAAGTAACGTAACCTACGGCCAAAAAGGAAGATTCACGCCGTTAGGGCTGTAATCGGCTTACTAGGCTTTATCGATTAGTAATTAGTAGCTTGTATGCAAGTCGGGTCGAACCGATAACATCCCTGCTATATTTTCAAACTAAATTTATTAAGCCGACTGTGTAGATGCATAACTGTTCTAAGTATACATTCCAGAAACCATTATGCAGGTCCCTTACCGTTACTCATTAATTGGGGATATTTTTTGTAAATAATCTGTTGTATAAAACTTTATCTTATGTTTGTCACACGGAACTTTAATTGTTTTTAAAGAAACAGTACTGGATTTGACTTGTAAGTCATACCCAACATAACCATAACCCAATATCGATGTATTTTGTCATTATGAATTTACTTCTTATGCATATGTATGAAGTTTTAGTATAACTGTAACTTTCTAAACCTAACCTCGGCGAAATTTTTTGTACTTGCCAATGTCTCAAAAAAAAAACGCCCGAACTGTCCTCGTTACGCACTTAGCGAACCATATACATCAATGACTAGATTTTTAGAAGGCCACAAATTCATTCACAGTCCGAAAATTTCCGGTTAATAAGATTAATTTCATATAAATTTTAAAATTCAAAATAATCTATTACTGTAAAACTAAGTAACATAATCATTAGTTAATTCCATTGAGATGCTTTTACGTAGTATATGGGCGTCATTCAACATAAAAGGGAAAAATCTACAAGTTTTCAATATATCAAAATAAACCTATTTTTATCAAAGCGTTATATCTTCTTTAATTCTGTAATTAAAGTTATCGTTATGAAATTCTAACTGCACATCTAATTACATGAGAATAAGTGTTGTGTGACATGAAGTCGCGGGTACTAAACCAATTTTAATTATTTTACCCGTCATTAGAATAATAAGGAATATTGTACTAAAATTAATAATTATTTGGTCCAATTACATAATTTAATTAAGTGATTTAAGAATACGTATATTGTATACGTAGCATTGTTTTTAAATGACTAGATCATTTCATTCTGAAATAATTTTTTAAGTCATTTCAAGCTATTTTAAAGTTATTTGAACTCAAAAATACTCAAACACGTATTAAATTAATTTATTTTACGTATCCATTTAAAATAACAGATAAAGCAGAAATTCAATTACTATTACGTTAACCAACATCTATTTCTTTCTTTAATAATATGGTGGTACGTTTTAAGAAAATATAACTTCTATTACCTATTGTGACTTTCTTTTTTTGAATAGGTTTACATATTTTGCGAAATTTCATTTTTTTTGTAGAAATTTGCACTTCATTTTAAAGCTGAACTTGAAAATGTTACAGACGTTGGACCTAGCAGTGAAGAATATGAATGGCACTTTAAGGTTTTATTATATATCTAAGCCAATATTTCAAGGAATTAGTATAGTTTAAAATTATTGATCATATATTTTATATATAGGTAAAATGTAATAATTGTAAAGAAATAAATAAAAATTGGGTTGGTGTTAATCAACTTGTAAGTGTTTATAATACATGTTATTGAAAATGTTTATACGTATATAATACTTAATCGGAATTTTTATATATATAAAGGCTAGCAATGCTATAAGTGGTTCACGAGGAAGTGCAAATTTTGTAATGCATTGTAAATTTTGTAAACGTGAAGGTTATGCACGTAAGTTGTGTACACATTTATATTGTGTGATAAAGATAAGATTTACGTATTTGAAATTAAATTATATATGTTGGTATATTATAGAATTTGATAATACATCTATTAAACCATATACTATTGAGAATAGTGGTCAATTTTCTCAAATAGTAATTATTGATTGCAGAGGATTGGAATTTGTAGATTTTGATCCAAGAGTAATTATATTCAAATAGTCGTTTCTTATTGTTATTACTTTTAATATATGTTTATATTTTATTTTCTTAGATTGGTTTTAAAGCTAAAGGTGTTAAAAGCAATATAATTTTTAATGATATTGATTTAACATTAAAAGAAGATTGGGCAGATTATGATGAAGAGGTTTGATTTTCAATTTTTTTTATATTTTTTTATTTAATTTTGTATTTTAATTATATATTTTATATTTTATTATTAAAGGCTGGTGTTCCTGTTGGAATTTCTGAAATAGAAGTTAAATTTGTATAGTACAAAACATTAAAAGACATTCAATTTATACATATAGGCGCCAATTTTTGGTGGTGTATTTATAATCAATTCTGATTAGTTAATTTTTGTGTAATTAATTTTGATTAGTTAAAAAATATATATATGTTTTTTTTATAATAAATGCAAATTTTTGAACTCATATAATTTTGATTTTTTATAATTTTTTTAAAACAAAATAAAAAAAATTTTTTAACAAAAATATAATTAATTTAAAATTTTATTAATTTGTTAAAAAGTTTTTTGATTTAGCTTGTTTTAAAAAAATTATAATACTTTAAGGTTTTTATTAACAAATATTAAACATTTTACTATTTAATATTGTATAAATTTTGATATAAATTAATAAATAAATTTATTAAAGTTTTTTATATTTTAATGTTTTTTTTTAATTTATATTAGTGTTTTATTAAAATTTTTAAAATTATATATTTATAATTATATAGAATTATCTAATATTTAAATTTAGCATTATTTGATTATTTTAATAATATTTAAATGCAATTTGTTACATTATTTTAATTAAAAATAACCTATTTATTACATTATTTTAATTAAAAATAAACTATTTGTTTAATTATTTAAAGTTATATCAAAAGGTTTTTTCAATTTATTTTAGTTAGAAAATAATTTGAAACAATTATCTATAGCACTTATTAGGAAATAAAGGGTGTAATGTTATATTAGATGTCTTTTTAACAATACAAATGTAATTTAGAAATCTTTATTTTAGGAATTTTCTTTTGTAATTAAATTTATTATTGTAACTTAAAATTTTTACTATAATATTATATAAATAAATAAATATAAAAAAAGTTATATAAAAAAAGTTATATCAAAAAAGTTCAAATTTTTATATATATATATATTTTTTTATTTTTATACTTTTATATTGAATTTTTTATATTTGGATATTGAATGTATTTTATACTATTTTTGTTATTATATTTATATATTTTTATATTATCAACTTGTTTAAAAGTTATTAGAACTTTTTTATATTTTTATTATAATTAAATTTTTTATTAATATTTTTTATTTACAATTTTTTTTTAATTTATATAATAATAATTTTATTACAATAGTCTGTTTTTAAATCTATTTAATTTAAAATATTATAATTAATTTTATAAAAATATTACAAAATATGGGTTTTATAATTTAGCAAATAAGTTTTTAAACTTTTTTACTAACAAGATTAATAGTTTAAGTTAGACTGAATTTAATTTTGTTTTTGTAAACTATTAAAGTTATTAATATATAATATTTTTATAAAAATTTTAAGTACAGATATAAATTTAAAAATACAATTTTAACTCTTCTCTGCAGATCCCTCGACCAAAATCAGTAAGAAGCAAAACAAGAAAAATATCGCAAAACACACTAAGAAGCAACACTAAAACCCTTAGTAGAAAAGAAAGAACAACAAAATTTACACCTAGCTAATAGAACAAAATACAAATAGAAATAACATAGAAACAGCAAAGCTTGGAAAAATAAAATTTTTTGCCGAAAACAAAAAATTTTTGTAAATTTTGGAGAATTCTTGTGACTCTTTTGTACAGATCAATTAGATTACATGAAAAGCACAACAAAACAAGTAAGGTAAACAAGCAAACACATGTACAAAAACAGCCTAACAAAGTAAACACATGATATAGTAACAGCTGCACCAAACTAACTAACAAATAAAATGACAACAATCAGTATAGGAGGTAACACATATGAAGTAAGACCTGGAAGTCTATTAGGAAAGGTATTAGAAAAATCAACAGCACAAAGTCTGCAGAAAGTTGACAATGCGGAGCTTGTCAAAATACTAGAAACAACAGATGTTATAGAAACAAGAATAGACAGATATACAGCATTACTGTTCGCAGCAGATGTAGCAGACATAGCAGCAGTAAGAACATTGAGTGAAGCCATTGCATAGGTGAACAAAAGAAGTAAATTGATAGATTTTAGCTTTAAAATAGAGGATAACTCACAACAGCAAAGAGAAAGAAAAGCAAAAAATGAAAGACAGCCAGAAGAGATAGTTAAAACAAAAGAAAATAAAGAAAGAGTAGAATTAGTAGAAGAATTCAAAAAATATAAAGCAGGTAAGGAACAGGTAATAACAGAAAAATAACAAAGATATACAGCACAGGAACAAGATATAAAGGAGGTAAGAAGAGATAGAGAGACTTCATGACACAATTCAAGCCTGATAGAAGCAGAAGAAAAGAAAGAAAACAAAGAAGAAGACTTAATGATACTACAAGGAGATGCAATAGAAGTGCCATTAGAACAAAGCATCTAGGCATCAGATAACAGACCATGTAACAATGAAACACTAGTAATAGCAAGAATTCCTGCATATAATGTTCCAGATAGAACAAATTTAGAGAGAACAGGCATGGTAAAATAGATGCTTAATGCAAATAGACATATTACAAAAATTGAAGAAGTCTTTGTGAAAGGCAACAGTTGGATTGAAGTATCATTTGACTATAAAAGAGGAAGAGAAGAAGCAATTAATCGAATAAAGCAAAAAGATAAAGAGTGGTTTAATTTGATTCCAGTTGAATCACAAAACCAAATGAAAAGTAAGAAAGAACAAGAGGAAGCAACAGACAAGCATAGAGTAAAGAATAAACAACAAAAAGGAAATGAAAGATCTGAAGACCTTAAATGGAAAGAGCCCAAACAAAAAGAAACATAGCAAAGCAAAGTAAAAAACAAGATGAAGCTGAAACAAAAGCAGAAAGACAGCAAACAGAAGAATTAGAGGAAGCAGAAACAATAAGATACCTAATGATTTGGGACTTACTGTCAGACATCAATGAAAAAGAATTGAAATATATGTGCAGAAGTATGAGAAATATGCGTATAGTATGAATTAAAAGATCACAATATAAAGCACTAGCAGTTGTAACAGCAGATTGTGGAGAAAAGAAGGACAACATATGGACATTACCTCTTGGCAACAATAAATTAGCAAGAGTAACAGAAGGAAATGAAGACTATACACAAAGAGAAAAACAAAGCCGTTTTACAGCAAAGTTATTAGATATCTCTAAAGGAGCATCAGAAGTGCTTTTATTAAGATGTCTAAGAAATAAGGGAGCAAAGGCAGTATACATACCATTTAACAGAAATAGAAATCAGAAAAAGTTTATAATAATTACTTTTGCAAATGCTCAAGAAGCAGAGGCAGCACAAACAACACCAATATGATACAACAACCATCAAGTAAGGTGGAAAAATCCCAAAAGAAGAAAAACACAGAAAAGAGAAGAGTCAAAAGGCAGAAGACAAGAAAGATCAAAGTCAAGCAATGAGAAACAGTTAAATTACAAAAGACAAGAGACATCAAGAGTCAGAGGTACAAGACATGAAACACCTATTAAGAGATACGGAGAAATGGAAAGCGACCTGCAGTTACAAGATATAGTAGCATGGTTAGGGAACAAAAACACAGATATAAAGAAAGAGACAGTAATAGCAAAGGAAAAGAAGGCCAAACTGAATATATTAGATCAAGAAAGAATATTACCAGTAGAAGATGTCTTGTTTCAAATATTAGAAAGACTAAATAGAATAGAAGAAATGCAGCTGGGGGTGAGTGGAGGTTCAGCTGACCGCTTCTAAGAGTGCCTTAGTTAAGCTTAGGAATACAGATAAGGAGATTGAAGCCTTTCTGCAGAAGGAATGAAGAACATTTGAGGAGAAAAAAAAAGAAGCATCCCCTTATCTGAAAGAAAGAAAAAGAAAGGCATTTAAAAAAACTGATAATATAGAAATAAGACAAGATCAACTAAAAGGAAGATAGAAAAAGGAGAGAAAAGAAATCAAAATAGCATGTCATAATATCAATAGTTTGAAGACCAAAGGTTGAAAACTTGAAAACCTGTTAGATTGGGCAGAAGAAAAAGAAATTGCAATATTGAGAATCACAGAAATGAACATTTTTGAAAAAGAAGGAAGATTTTTAGTATATGCAGCAAACAAAAAGTATATAGGATATTGAACAAATGTAGCAGAGAACAAGAAAAAAGGGTCAGATGTAGGAATTCTAATAGAAAAACAATGGGAAAAGCATGTGGGTGCTGTCAAAAGAGTAAATGAATACATGATAGAGATTATGCTATATTTCAAGCAATTGGAGC